GCGGTTACACGTTGGGTTGCTAACCGAAAGGTCAGCGAGAGAAGGTTTTCTCTCCCATAAAGAGTGACAGTCTCCGAGATCCCAAAGGGCACATCTATTCTGTCCTGTAGGGTCGCTGTGAGTTGGAATCAACTTGCTGGCAGTGAGTGTGAGTTTGTTTGCTTCCTAAAACAGCTGGAGGCTCCTGTGATTTAACTGCGGAATTGTTCCTTCCAACTGAGTGCTATTGATTTGCAATATTTTAGGGTTTTTTTAATTTTAAGAATTAACATAAAAAATTAAAATTATTTTATATAGATGCTTGCTGGAATTTACCTCAGATTTACAATTTTCTTAGCTCCATGCTACTTCTCCTCCACTCCCTCTGCCTGCACCCCGCCCAAGCCCCAGGAGTCACCGAATTCTGAATTTTATTTCCTTGCAAGAACAAAAGATTCTCTCGGCTCCTTCAGTCACCAGTAAAATCATCAGGCAGGAAAACATTTCCTTAGATGGGCTTCTGGTCGTTAAAATGAATGGCATGCACAGACCCGATCTGAACCAGGAGGGCAGGATGGTCTGAGAGCGCCTCCCCTTGGTCCCGTGGGAGTCTGCGGAGGGGAGGGCAGGAGTGTCTGGTCACGCTAACACCATTCCGTCTTGCGTCTCAGACTTCTCTTTGTATCTGTTCTGTGTGCTGGTGAGTTTCTTTCACGCTCCTTTCTTTCATGTCACAGACACTCTGCAGCGGGGTCTAGTTTGCTTTTTACCCTGTCAGTGTTTTATTTGAACAAATAATACCCTTTTTTTAAAAACACTTGTCTGGTCTTTTCTTTCCTTCGGTTCCTTTCATTTGCTGTTGTTGAGCATATACACAGCAGAGCAAACACCCGTTCAACAGTTTCTACAGTTTGGTGACCGTGAGGATATTCTTCAAGTTAGGCGATCATTCTCATCCTCCTTTCCCGAGTTGTTTCTCTATTAACATAAACTCCCTGCCTGGTGGGACAAACTCCAAATGCACTATCCCCCTTACATAAAAAACAAACAAACAACAAACCCAAATGAGCATCATCTTGATCTTTGATTTCACTTGACGAGCTTTTTTGGGGCGTGGTGACGATGGCATCTTCCACTGGCTTGATTGATGTTTGTTTTCAGAGTCATAAGAATAGCACCGTATCTGTCGTCAGTAATAACCTTGGGGGATAAGTCTGGGTCGCCTCAGAGCTGTTTTTTCAAACCACAGCATGTTTGCACTCAATGCTTTTTCCTGGTCAGAACCCGATGTGCAAATTTTGCAGCAACCCTTCTCATTCCCAAATCATCCATTAAAATTCGCTGAACCAAGCTCAAAGATAGTCCAGATAACGTCCCCAACTCTTCCATGGTTCCCCATCTGTCTTTGAGCACAAGTGCGCAAATTTTGTCGACATTTTTGTCCTTTGGGGAAGTTGAGGAATGTCCAGACAAGTTTTGTCATCAATTGACATTTCACCTTTTTTGAAATGAAAAAAACCAAAACACTCGTACACTTGAGATTTTCCCATAGCTCTGTCCTCGTAAGTGGTATTCAACATCACAACCATTTCTGCGGTATTTTTCCCAAGCAGGAAAAAGAATTTCACAGCTGTTTAACTCCAAACCAAGGAACCAAATCCCATGTGATGTTTGGGTGTACATAAGCACTCTCAGCAACCACTCTTTCCTTTTGGTTTGTTGTGAATATATCTATCACACAACTCTTGCCAATTCAATTTTTTACAGGGGTACAATTTACTGACAGCAATTAATCAATCAGTTGTCCAACTCTACTTTTAATCAATGTGATTTTTTCCATCATTTTTTTCCACCTAGGCGCTTCCCCTTTTCTGAGACGTTCCTCCCTCTCCTGGTAACCAACACTAAACTTAGGTCGCTATACATTTGCCTGTTCCTGTCTTTTGATATAAGTGGGGTCAGACAATATTTGTCTTTTAGTGATTGCCTAATTGTGCTCAGCATAATGGCTTCATGCTCCATCCATGCTGCAGCATTCATCGGCTTCATTTCCCCTATTGGACGAGCGGGGGTTGTAGGTACTGTACTTGGTCTTTCCACGCATCATTTGGTTCTTTATGTCTTGGGCTACTGGGACTGGTGCTACAGCGAGCATGTTGAATGGCTACTTTCAAGTCTTTTGGGTGTATACTGAGGAGTGGAGTTGCTGGGTCACATGGTATTTCTATTTTTAGCTTTTTGAGGAATTACCACTGTTCTCCACAATGACTATTCCATTTTGCATTCCCACCTATCTGCCTTTCTTTGTTTTTCATTATGGTTTATTTCGTTTTCACAACATAAAATGGATTTCATCTGATTATTTTTTATAGTCTCTTGTTGCTTGCTTATTTTGATGATTTCACACAGTATTTGATTTTTTTCTTTATAATAATTTTTTCCCCTTACTTTTATTTATAAAGAACATGACTCCTCTAGGCGCAGACACAAACACGTATTCCAAGGAGCCCACGGAGAATAAAACAACGAGAGCACAGTGGAAAGCTTACGTAACACCAGTCTAGGCACCCAGACTCGAAAATCCTTCAGGATGTTTTCCCAGACATGCAGCCCTCCCACTAGACGACACGACGGAGATCCTTGTGGGGTGGTCCCACCCCACCCATGAGGCAGAACAGCAGAGCTCAGTCTTCAGCATCATCGAACATAATTATTTTGTTTTAATTCCAATTCCAAATTAGACCTTGGGGGTTAATTCTAGTTTGTTGTTTCTATAGACGGCCTTTAGAGTGGGTTGTTTCTTTGTGTCTCCCACTGTGTTTATATTTAATTGACCTTAGTTTGAAGGGTACTTAGAAAATGACTTTGTGGATGTTTCTCAATAGAGTAGGTTTACATGAGTCTCCTGTGTATAAGTGCATTACCGGTGGTGGTGGTGACAGAGGAGGAAGGGAGGAGGGACAGGGAAACGGAGATCATTTTTGAGAGGGCTTCAAAAAGTTGATGGAAAATGGATTTAAAAGATAATTTTTCTACAAACGTTTTGAAGCCCCTTGTATTAAATTGAGACTGTGTTCCCCTTTCTGATTCAGGTTAGAATTTGCCCTTCTAGTCCTTCTACCTTTCAGCTAGTTTAAGGCTTAGGTGTTTTTGTTTTTTTAATCATTTTATTAGGGGCTCGTACAGCTCTTATCACAATCCATACATCCATCCATTGTGTCAAGCACATTTGTACATTTGTTGCCATCATCCTTCTCAAAACATTTTCTTTCTTCTTGAGCCCTTGGTATCAGCTCATTTTTCCCCCTCCCTCCCCGCCCCCAAGGCTGAGGCTTCTGCATGCAGTTCTGACATAAGCATTTGTCCTTAGGGCAACTGTCTTCCAAGTATATTTACCACTCATTTCCATGAAAATCTTTAACAAAATAAAAATATTTTTTATACAGGCTCTAGTTTTGAAGCCAGATGGCTTGTCAGAGTTCCTAGACCATCAGACTATAAGAAACAGAAACCTTTGCTTCATTCTGAATCCTACTGCGCTGTGGTTTTCCTTCCACTTCAATCACTACAGCAGCTCCAGCCAGGTGACCGAGGGTTACCATGCTCAAGAGGTCCCTTCTAGTGCCTGCAGCACTGGACAGCACCGACATTTGTCCCAGAATGCTCTCTTTGTTGGTTTCTCTTTGACTTTCCTGCTCTCTCTCTGCTTCCCTGGCTGTATTTCTCCGTCACCTTTTGTGGCTTTTCTTGAGCTACCTGTACCCCTTAAATGTTGGTTGTCCCCTAAGTTCTGCCCTTGGCCATTTTCTTACTCTTCTTTGACAATCTCGTCTACTCCCTATGACATTGGCTGCCACATGTATGTTGATGATTCAAAATCCGTACCGGTAGCCGGACTGCTTCCCTTTGCTTCAGGTAAGTATCCACTTACCCACCAGATTCTATGCTGAGATGGCCTCAGAATAGTTTTGTTCCGAAATGAATTCCAAATAGCTCTCTAATCGATGGTTCCAAATTTCCATTGGTAGCACTGCTTTTCCTCCAGTGGCCAGAGCCCAACATCCTGGAGTCATCTTTCCCTTCCTCTTATATCCGGTTGGTGACCAAGATCTTTTAATCTACTTCTTAAAATCCTCTCTTACTGGAGGTACTCTCACATTTTGCTGGTGGGAATGTCAGCGGGAATCCCTACTGACTAGTGCATGTTCTGTACTGGGCCACCCGACTTTATTAACGTGTTTGCGGAGAGCTCCTGCAAGGCAGTGTCTGGCACTTCATGTTTGTATCCTGTGTGCCTATATCATGCCTGTCAAATGTAGGTACGTAACAAAGGTTTGTTGGGTGATACACATAAATTCTCTCAGGCAAGGTCACAAACTCACCAATCTTCTATTTTGTGCGAGCTGCTTACATCTATTTGGTCACCTGTATTCAAGCACCGACACAGAGAGAAAAAAGGAGACACACCTACAAGCCATTGCCTGTCTGTCCCAAAGGCACACACCAGAGTAGATGGGGTCCTGCCTCAGGGCATCTGCACTTCCTGATCTCTCTGCCTGGGAGCTCCGCCCCCCTTCCTTTTTTCCCTCGGCTTTTCACATGGCTAGTGCTCTCATCATCATTCCAGCACCAGGGCAGTGTTCCCTTGAGAGAGAGGCCAGCCATGAGTTCCCTCCTTCCATGTCCTCCCTAGCTCAGTCATTTTCCTGGGTTACTTCCAATTCTATCACTGTTTATTTTCTGTACAGAAGTTTGGGCAATGTATAAAAATATTGTTTACTACCTGTCTCTCCCCACCTCCTATGCTGATGTCATTTCATGAGGGCAAGATCTTGTACTATTTACCACTGGAAGTTCTGTGCTAGGAAAATGAATAAGGAGCACACACACATATACACATAAAGCTACAAAGAATGATGGTCACCTATCGACAACCACACACCACCAGTCAGTCCTCCTGATAGCTAATCCCTGGCCATACATTTAGGCCTTTCCTCCCATTTCCTCCAACCTCCACTTACCGGGGTCACAAACTTGTTGGGCTCCCAGGCCCACATAGCTGGGTCTTTATAGACCTCCTTGATGGAGGTGGGAGCTCGGTAGGAGTCAGTGTAGGTGCTGATGGGAGTCTTGGTCTTACGGGAGAAGAGGAACATGGTGAGGTAGAGGTGATGCTATGGTGGGCTTCACCTACCAAGAGCTCCTGCTGAACATGAGTGACTAGCTCCTTTCCTAGGCAGCCCACCCCTCCAGCTGGGCATGTGTCCCTGGCTTCTATGACCCCCTTCTGTGGGGAATCCTTTAGCTTATCTTTTCCACAGCCTCCCTCCCCCTCCAGGATGTGCACTGCCCATTATGATATCACCTGGCTTAGCACCAATTCCCTCTCTACTCTCCCAATCCCTTCCTGCCTCAAACCCTTCAAAACAGACTCATTTCCAAATGTTCAGAGGGCCCCCGGCTAAGCGTCTAGAAGAGGAAGCAGAAGTGCAGAGGAGCCAAGTGACTTGGCCAGGGTCATTCAGCAGGTCAGTGGCCAGGCCTGGCCTGGCAATCCCTGGGTGGAGGAAGAGCGAGCTATGCTGGCCCCCCTCCCTGCAGCCCGCCTGCCCAGATAGGGAGCTGAGGCTAGCTTGTTTGAGGCTTTTAATATTATTTGTGTTACACGATACATAACCAAGGATGAAAGTCAATACTGCGATGGAAATGTTAAAAAAAATATGATACACGGTTCATGTCTTTCACACACCTTCCTGAAAATCAATTAGTGAGCACAGAGAGACCTGGCTGGGTGGCAGCCACAGCTGAGAGTAGAAGGGGTGTTAAGGCAGTATCTACAAGGGGGCAAGGGGCAGGGGGCAGGGGGCAAGCTAAGGCCTTGAGTCTTCCCCTCCAGCCTCCCAGACAGGGAAGCAGGGAACCATACACTCTCCCTAGATCCCAAAGCTGCCCACTGCCAGCATCCTTCCTCTCCCTACCCCATATACACTGCCATCCCAGGGGTCTAGTATGTCCTGTGGGGAGGAGTTTCCCTGGTTCCTCAGGGCCAGAGTCCCACAGCAAGTGAGCAGCAAAGGCAGCAATCTAAGTGAGCCCAGGTGGGACTGTGCCCCAAAGAGAGGTGGAACCCATGCTCGAGAGGGTGAGTCAAGGGACCTGCTCCTGGTGGTGGGTGTGGGAAGCCTGGCTCTGGGGCCCGGAGGATGGGGCTAGGGGATGCTGTCTGGTCAGGGGAGATGCTCAGAGATGGAGGCCTGGTGGTGGGCCCTGCAGGAGCCTTCCTGGTCCTCACCTTCCTTTGGTGTTCCTTCAGTGTCCCACTAGGGTCTCTGCACTGGAGGAGGACGGAGAGGGGGAGGGAGGAGTGGTAGAGAGTTGGCAGCCCCTGGGTGTGGCGCAGGGAGAGGTGCTGCCCTTCCTTAGCCAGCCCCCTCACTTTTTCCTCTCACCACCGTCTACTCCAGTCTACCTCTCGCACTGGCATCCAGAGCGGGCTGTGGGTGAGCCCATTGCATGCTCTGGGAGCAGAGTGGATATGCCTGATTGTGGGGGTGTCAGCATGGAGTAAGAGGGAGTGTACACCATGGCCTGGGGTGGGGGCTTGGGGAACATGGGCCTGAGCAACCTTAGACTAGCTGTGCTTTCAACCTCCTTCCCATGGGGCAAGTCCTTACTGCCCAGCCGTCCTCCCCTTTCTCTTGTTCCTCAGCCTTGCTTTTCCTTTCCCTGACCCTCCCGACCAACCAGTCGCAGGGGCAGCAGAGGCAGGACACCCACTGAGCCCCATGCATTCCCTACATGCCACCACACCGCCATCCGCACACATGGACACCCTGATCCTCCCCTTTTCTCGCAGACACACACACACACACACACACACACAGATCGAGCTGACAGCCACACCGGGAACTCCCGCACAGACGTGCCTACACACAAAGGCCTGACATCCCAAGGGTTGGCGCCGATCTGTGCGGCTTGCTTTAGGAAACCGCAGCGCCGAGAAAGGAAGAGTGCAAGGAGCAGAGGAGCCGGGTCAGAATTCTGCCCCACCGGAAGGTCACTGAAGGCCCGGCAGCGGCTCGCAAGGTAACAGACCACACAGACACACCCCCAGCGCGGACACTCACACCTATGACAGAAACGGACTCACGCCATGTCCCAACCCCAAGAACAGACACACAGCCCCCGTGTTCAGCCAGGCGCTCCCTCCCAAGCACAGGCAGCCACTAGTCCAGCCCGCTGCCCAGCTGATTTGGGCTGGGAGTGAGGGGGGTAGGGGTGAGGGCGGGGGTGGGCGAGAAGGGGCTTGTGAGCCACCTTAATTCCCTCCCCTTTCAGTTGGGAGACAGACCAGTGACTAGAAACCTGAAGAGGGCGAGGCTTTGGTTAGGGTCGAGTGAGGACCGATCATATCACCCCAAAGCGTGACTTGGCGCCCCTTGCCCTCCCCCTACCGCCCAAAGAGGTGAATGGGGCAAAAGGGAGCAAAGGCCTTCTTCCTGTGATCAGGATGTTGGGGGGAGAGTGGGCAAGATCCCTCTGGGTGGCTTTGCCAGGCTTCCTACTTGGAGATGGGTGGGGGGATGCAAATAGGTAGGTGGGGCGGCAGGGGCATGTGAAGGGGACTCTGAGGTGCTGGGCCCTGTCCCTACAGCCAGGACCTTCCTCCCTCTTCTGAGCCCCTCAGCCCCGTTTAACAGGCTGGGG